ATGTCGCATTTCAGGATAACTTCTGGCAGTTATAACTTTGTGTCTTACCGTTCTCAAGACGAAATTTTTTATACACAATACCAAGTGCTGCATTTCACATCCGAAAATTATATGATTTATTTTTTTGTTGTTGATGCATCCACGATACTTTTTGCATGTTTAGACACTATGCAAGGGATACCCACTCAACATTGAAAAAGTCACTATCATTTTGACTCTTAAAGAAACCTTGTTATCTAAGCTGTGCGGCATGTGACCTCTCCGCATGCGACTAAACAGTTGTTAATTATATCTCACTCTGCCGACAACTTAAAGAAAAGAGTGGAGGGAGGAGGATAAATGATAGATGACAGATGACAGTCATAGAGAACTGTCCAAAGCTGGAAGAAATCTTTTGAGCAAATAGCACATGATATAGCTTGCTCTTCAGTACATTCACAGTGCAGACAAGGCCCTGGGTAATTACATTCAAAGCTAATTTTATGTTGACATGTTTGAACATTATAAGTGCATAAGAATAAGTGTGTTACAGCGCAGTCTGCCGATCAGTATCTTAAATAATGACAGTAAAAGATTGTAACAATGACCTAGAAAAACCAGCATAAAAATCAATCTAAAAGAAAAGAATGCAAGTACTGATCCAAGAATCGTGAAAATGACGAAAAGCTGTGGCTATATTAGTTAACAATGGGTATCCCTACATGTTTTTAACCTAACTTTCGTGTAGCATTTCATTTTGCCAAGTTTACTCACTATTGTAGAATCGACAACATTTCAGAAAACTTTCCCTTGAATCACATCCCACTCACAATAATTTTAATTAAGAAAACAGTCAGTTTAAGCCGGGCAAGGTATGATAAATGTTCTTTAGCATGAGCTGTGGATTTTAGGGCGCTGTTATTGACTATTTTCTAAAGCGCTTACAAGAAATTTTTCTGTCATTTGTCATCGAGAAATTATACGAAAAGGGTAGAAAAGTAAATAAATAGCCTACCATTACAATAGTTTTCGTCCACTGTAAGAATTTAGCCTGAGAAACAATCGCGTGTGCCAGTTACCTTTTTGAATTCGCGGAGTATAAACAACTACGCTATTTCGAGGGTGGTATGAAGCAAAAATATAATTGGACAATAAATTCCTTTCTTGAAACAAAAAAATATGCACGGGCTGATGCTGAGCAAAATAAAACATAAATGAGTTTTCTTTTGGCAATCCAAAATTTGAGATAAACAAGTTAGTTGCTGTCACGGAAACTAAAGCGTGGAGGCACCAAGTAACAAACTTACAATTTAACCTACTCTCCAATGACATGTCCTGAATAGAATAAAGTCATCGGCCGAACCATTCTCTACGTCATGATCAATTTGGAAGGCTTCATTTGAAGTTAGCAAATTGAGTAAGAAGATTCGGGTTCCACTTCTAGCTCGTCCTATGCCTTCTACATGGTGATAAATTCATCCCGCCGAAGTCGTGAATCCATAGCAGCCATAGCTTTCAACATTCCGAGAGTTGTCGATGTTGACGAAAACTGACATAAAAGCATCTTTAAAATGTATTCGCCAGGCCTGGCAAAATATTTTTCAAATTAAACCGAGGAAACAATTTCCTACTGCAATTTACCTTGTGACTTCGAACTCTTTTCAGTCGTCGCCATTCTTAGGAGATTCGAGTGTATTTTGGCAAATTTGTTTTCCATCTGGAGCTTCCAAATGTTTGTCTTCATCGGAAAAGAATGTGAAAACACCTTATTTTATTTCTTCGGCTCGCATACGTGCGAATAGGCTGCAAATAGTCTTGAAAGCGGACCAACAACATCACAACTAACCTATTTTGGGTTTGATTGGTAACCATTTTTCTTAAAGCCAAATGTACTCCTAAGCTACAAATAATTCGGCTTTTTGTTTGATGGAAGAAGTGGCCGACGGCGTTTCACACTGTCATCTGTAATCCGTTAATATTCAATTTTTGCTAAAGTGCTACGAAGCTTGTCAAGTTCAAAACAATGGACTACGGGTAACTGTCAAGTGGAAGACATCCAAGGGTTAAAGTAAAAGTAATGTGCCATCTATGTTACTTTTGTTAGAGGTGAGAGTTATGCTTAAAACACCAGATGAAGTTTGTGTTGGTTGGGCATGCCTTTCCGCCGAATAAAGGGTAGCGTGACTCGTACTGATGAAGCTTTCTTACCTGATAGAAAACCCAAGATGTCGTTCATGATAACAACGTTTCACGCTTTTAACATTGTAGAAACGTTCTCGTGCCCATTCCATTATTCAGAGTAAACAACGAAATTAGTGCTTAGGTGTGCTCTGAAAACAGATAGTAATGAAGATAAATACTCCAAAGAGCGGGGAGCTGCAATCAGGAAGTGACGTATTATTTACATAAACGAGTTACAATTTCATTGGAATGCTTTTCTCTGGTTGAGTAAACAGGTAATCATTATATTCTCAGATGTCTTTCTCCATATTCTTCAGGTAGAAAGTGTGTAATCTGGCGACTCTTCGGTAAACTGTCTTTGACATTGGAAATGTTTTCCTAGTGAATTGATAACAATCAGTTTCAACTTTCAGTTTCGCATTCAATTGCACAATTATTTTGTTCAGCGCGGACTTTCCCAGACATCAGCACGCGCCAAACTTCATAAACACAAATGTTGGTTGCAGAGAACCATGGTACAATCGAAGTATTTTGACGAAAAACAAGAACAGCGACGGTGTTGCACGCTCAAAAAGGTCACAGGTATCGACCTACGCATTTTCTATAGATTACTCTCGCTAATGGAATTTTATTACCTTCTTCAAAGTAAATTTTGCTCAATATGCAGATAAAGTAATTGTGCATTGAACTCTAAGGCCAGTTTTGGCAAAAGCAGCGCAATCTAACAGCCACCTCTCTACATTGGCAACTCTTCTATTTCCCGGCTGAAAGTTTACACCTTTACTCTTATTTCAACCTTTTTAAATCGCAACCTCCCCCACAATCGCGACCGTACCCTACAAAGCTTTGATCTGTATACGTAAAGCCAGCTGAGACACTTTAACCACCTTAGACTGATATAGTGTTGACTTCCTAAGGCGACATCTAAACAGTAAACACTCTACTATTGTTGACAAAAACCACACGTTATCTTTCTCGAAACTGTATGTAATTTCTCTAAAGTTTATCTTGTGCCACCAGTCTGTATAGGAAATTTAGGCACAGCGATCAATTCTTCGTCTACGATCCAAATTACTCTCAATAAGAAAAAGTTGTGTTGATCAGTATTTACATAATCAGAATAAAACCTTATGAATAACCATCAGAAATCTCTAAAATTAGGAAACATCTATCGGCGGTACTTTTTCCTGATGGATCTTCCTCACCAAGGATACCTGACGAAATTCAGCAACCGAAAAAGACGCCCCACAGAATTTAAACTGATTTCACGTGCTATTGTAGGTGAGTCAGAGACTCTTTGCTGCGACTGCCTACAAGAGTCTGGGTTCTAGTTGTTTGAGTATCCTAACGTTTGCAGCGAAAACAATCCGGTCACACTGAGCACGGCCTCAATAGCCAAGTGAAACGAAGCCCAGTAGAACGGCGCCGTCTTTACGATCCCTTGTCAAAAAGGGGAATTTAAATCGATGGATATAACAATAAATGGATATAGCAATAAATGAGAGAGTGAAAAAACATATAAAAGGCACACATTTACTGCTTTCTAAAACTCACAACGGAGCGTTTTAAGGACGCACCGTTATGAAGGAGGAAACGTTCTTACCATAACCTAAATAGAACAAAGTCGTCTATAAATGGCTTGTAAGAGAAAGTTCATTAGCTGGCCATATATATAATAATGAAACTGCACCGATAATAGCCAAACGACATGCCACGGTATCATTCGATATAATTCGTTGTCGAAGATTCAGACTGGCAATATGATAATCGATCTAGGACGATCTAGAATGAATAGTGACCTTTTATATTGTGAGACAAACAATAATACGTTCATTTATTTTTAACTACGACCTGAACAACTAACGTTCCTTTTGAAAGTATATCCAAATTAATTACCAGTGCATTGATTCTTAAATCTTCATAGACCTTTCTTGAGGAACCCATCGTTCTGTTCATCTGTGCTTAACATATACACGGTGAGAGGAATATCAAAACACCTAAATTGGAGTAGCCTCTAGCACTCGGGGATCATTGAGTTTGTTTTCTATTTAAATGCTCAGCCCTGGGATCTAGATCCTTACCCTTTCGACTCATGGGTTCAACGTGCCAATTTTTGAGCAGCTACTTACTATTTTTATATAGACGGCACATTATTTATACTTTGCCACGTGTTGCGACATTGAAGGAAAGACAGCAGAATTGTTTGGTGACAAGCCACGGCGTCTATCGCACTGTCACATCCACCATTAAAATACATTCCCTTTCTATCCGATTTAAAAATAGTTTGAAAAAAATCATAAATTCCATCACACTTTACTCAAGAAAAAGCCTGATTTGCCGCGGTTCATTTTCGACCATTATCATTGTTAACGCGATTTATCAAACTAGTTTGGTATACGACCCCGTCAGTTGATCGCCATACAGTATGGTGATCAACTGACGAAGTCGTAGTCGAGACTAGTTTTGTAAGCAGTATTAGGGTCGAAAGTAAACGCAAATCAGGCAGGGTTTTTTTCCGATTTAAAATTTACGACAAAAGCGCTTAAGAGCAATTTTTCTGTCATTTGTCATCGAAATATTATAGGAAAAGGGTAGACAAATAGATAAAGTACACACCTTTACACCAGTTTTCGTTCACTGCAAAAATTTAGCCCGAGAAATAATCGCGTGCGCCAGTTACCTTTTTAAATTCGCGGAGTATAAACAACTATGCTGTTTCGATAGTGGTATGCAGCAAAAATATAATTGGATTGTTCTTGTAAGTTTTGGACTGTTAGTGTTGAAAGTAAACGCCAATTAGGGTTTTTTCGATTTCAAGTTTACGACACGTATTAACCTACCTTGAAATTGGAGGCGAACTTTTCATTGCAAAGCAGATGAAGCTCGTTAGATAAAATCATGAAGCAAAGTGGTTCTTTAGCTTTCTTGGTAACAATTATTTACAGGGGTCATCAGGTTAAGTCACTTAAGTGTTTCGGTTTGTTTATCCAGATGTCCTTACCTACAAAAAAAAAAAAGGATTGATTCATTTTTATCGTGTTCATATCAGCTATTCAAAAGGAAAATTTAGTCTTCCTCTCCAACTCAATACCCAAAAAAAAAGCTACAAAGCGATCGAAACAGTATTTTGATCGAAAATATTCGCAGGGTGTCTCCTTCTACAATACTGATTGATGTTTGTAAAAAAAAAACTGGTCTCACTAACTATGGGCCGCTTGTACTGATGTTGACCTTAAGATATTTATTTTGGTGTATTCACAATATTGAATGTGAAAAAGAAAACAGTTGATGACCACCTTTATCCCTCCTATCAGTCGCTGAATGTTAATTAGATATACGTTGAAACATGTCTAGCCACTCAAAAATTATAAACACTTCCAGGGTTCTTTAACCGACCGTCATGAGATGTCTTTAGTTCATAGTAAATCCCATCAAATACTGAATTCAGATTGGCGCTAAAACCATTAAATTCCAATGATGAATTTAGAAACAGATGGAATAAACTTAATTAGATACATTATCTACTCAAAACTTCATAACGTTATCATTACTTTAAAGCTCCGGAAATGATCTCGGACCGTAAATGAACCCGGACCGTAAATGAACCAAATTGCCTATGTTCCTGCTTTTTAATTTTTTTTTTCCTTTGGTGTGTTTTTTCCCCGTAGTCTAAGGCTGCATTCTTAAGGGATCCATTCTCTTCTCTCCTAGACTGGAGCTAGACAAAGCAAATTTCCTCCGGCTTCTAATTCCTAGAGACTAGTCTCGGTAACCGTCCCTCGTGAAGATTCAAAACTTAATCAGTTTCGGTTACACGATTTTCTTATTCAAACAAGGTGCAGAGACCTCTTGGTTGAGTTAGTCGTTACCACTGAGATTCTTATGATTTTGCTACTCACTAGAACCCTATGGATGAAATATGAATATTGACTTTCGTAAAAAAGCGCGAATGTAATCAGCCTTTATAGGAACTTTAAATTGACTTTAATTGAAAGATTTAGGTTAGAATTTAAAACAGCCCGTAATTTTTGCTATGATCCTATTGGATTTAACATTCCAACAAAAGGTCCAAAGCTAATTTATCGACAGATAGTAACTAATTAAATCAGATAATCAAGCTGTTTGTGATCTTTGATATCAAGGTGGTTTTTTTATGTTAAAATACACTGACGGTAGAAGGTTGTACCGCACTCGCCGTTTTTCCTTCATGTTAGTTGTATTGTGAATTAAAATATTGCATTTGGTACCAAAAAAACAACAAGTTCAATGATTTGAGCACCATTTCTTAAACTAGAAAACAAAACAAAAAAGTACAAAAGAGTTATTCCATTGACTTGTTTGCCCTCATTTCCCTGACAGCTATCGTCGTTATGTTTAACAGAAAAGAACATGATGGGGAGTTACTCGAAAACTTTCTCAATAAAAATATTGATTTCTCGCGCAATCTTTACGCCCATTCAAAACACAACGTTAAGGTGATTTACACCCTTTTAAACTTTAATTGTTTATTTTGATTTTCCCATAATTTGGAGCAGTGCGATGAACACCTCCTTGTTCTGTCGCACTCTGTGATAATCGACTCACTTTGGTATAAACTAAGTATAGATGATCGGAAGGCCAGTAAACCCGATGATAGCTCTTAATATTGTCAATAATATTGATAATGATGGTAACGATAATAATACTGCTAATAATTTATTATCATTATTGTTATTATTATGGACGGAAAGGACAGCTATCAATTGTTCCACTTGTCCTCCAACCATCTATACAAAGTTTATTACAAAGAGCGACGACGAGAGAATATACTCTCCTGGCGACGATTATTACTAAGTGCGACAGATCACTTCTTCCCTCGACTCAGGGAATAAGTGCCCTCGCCCCCTTTTCTAACGAGCGCCTCGGGCGCTTTTGTCGAGAACTTAAAGGACGGTAAGAAAACGATCAGGGTACTTGTGGAGTTGAAGATTCTACACATGTCATGGATGTTTCAAACTTAGACGCTTACGAAACAACGTCGTTTGACTTTCCCCTACAGCCCTAAGGAGCACAATTGACACCATACTTACAGGTAATGATTTTCACTTCCGCATCTTTGATTGACGGATTTAAAGAAACGAAAAAATATACATTTTTACATACACACAGTAATGCTTACGCGTAATTTGTTATAGCTTGAAGGGATAATATGTACCCAGTCACCAGACATACTTAATTTTGTAGGTTTTCCTTAAGGCAATAAATGTGTGATGCTGGTGTTTTTATCACTTGACCACAAATTACAATAGCTTGCTTGGGAAGAAGTACGTTGCCTTACGATGTAATATCAATATGTTTCATCGAAGAATTCATTCTGCCTATTTTTCCGCTGAAAGGTGGTCAACCACTAATTAATTTTCGTTTATTTAGGGAAGGTCGTGCCCTTAAATCGCTTGTTTCTTTCGTTGGAGGTGGGAAAGAAGTGAAGCTCGTCGCCGTGATAAACATTATAATTTTTTGTGCCAGAAAGCAACCACAAAGTAGTTCTTAATTAGTCAAGGAGAGAGCACTTGATGAGAAATATATGTTCCAATTCTCTGTGCAGACAAAACGGCGGAAGGATTTACATCTTCACTATACATGGTCGCGCAGACATGTGAGTAATTATGGACGCCAGGTCAAAAAGCGTCGAGCGGACTGGATGGAAATCAGCGCTATGCAAAACAGGATAAGACTCATAATTTCTGAACTAAACCTATGGAATATTAATTAGTGGAAATAATACCTTTAGCATTGAAATTTTCCCACCCCGTTTGAAAATTTTCCTTAAAGCTTTCGTCTTTGCGGAATACCTTTTCTAACATGTGTAGCCGTCTTAGTTCCAAGGCTTGGATTGACTGCATATCTTTGGACGGATTTCAGCTTCGACTAGCACTGTTGACAGCTATTGCTCTGTATTTTCTATTATCCAAAGTAATTGAAGCACCTGAGATCTTGATCCAATTTCTCACAGCAACTTATGTCGATCGCAAACCGCGGCAAAACTAGTCAGGTCCATCTCAGAGACCGAGCAAAAGATTATCTGGAAGCTCCTCTTTTTCATCCACCGAGCACGCCCTTCGTAGAAGATTAAATAACTCAAAATCCTGTTTTTCAGAATTCTGTTATTCGTGTTCTTCGGCAGATGTCTCCCTTTCCGTACGTACGTTTTGTTAAAATATTTGATCAAGTAATAAATATGACTGTTGACACATTTGCATCGTTCTCGACGAGACACAGGTAGAAACTTGACAACCTAAAGTGCGTATTGTTCTAACGTCTTTCTAAGAGCCTGATAAGTCTTTGCTTAAAAGTTCTAGCTTTTCCGATAATTGAAAATAAAACAATGCTATTTTAAGTCAGTGTCAAATATTACGCAAGGTTGTCAACTAAACTAAAGACAAAGCCCTAATCCTGCGGAAAATTAATACAATGTAAAGGCAACACGAATGAGTCGGCTGTCACTGTTTATCCAAGCCCCTGCCCCCCCTCTCTTTAAGAAAAACATATTTGACGCAAATTTCGTATCAGGTCAAAATGGCATGGCGTGGAAAAGTATAACAAGTGACTGTTGTATACGTTTTAACGATGAATTTATGGAATTTCTCTGTTTTTAATTTCCAGTTGAAACCTCTGGGACCAAATGAACGAGTTACCTGTACAACAACTTGTTTAATACGCTGGGGTGAAAGGTAATTAAGGATAGATGTTTTGATTAAAATTAGAAATGTTATGATTGATACGCATCGTCAAATTTTTTTTATCAAAGAGCTGGGAAGTGAAGCTTGAAGAGTATTTTCAAGCCACAGTTTTCTTTATTTGTCTAACTACAGTCAAACCTGTATTAAGCGGTCGGCCACATGGAATGATGACTGCTTAATACTGGTTCCAAAGAATAAGGGTGAAATAAAAAACGGTAAAAAACGCCATTTTATACCATAACTCACCTCTAAATGTACTCGCTCAAAATAACTACGAACATCGATTTCGGCTGAAAAGTATGGATTGAATTCTACTTGAAAGATTATTCTTGGTTTTATTTGAGTAGTTCGGCTTTAAGTGATCGCTAAATACATGTGGAAGACAAAACAAACAGGCCGTTGGGATTCACTCAAAGGTGTCGGCGACCGCTTAATAGAAGTAAAAATTATAGTGATATGAGGAAACAAATTTGGGATTTGGCGATGGACTGCTTGATACAGGGTGACAGCAGATTCGACGCCGTTTGATACAGGTTCGACTATGTCCGAGCATTGCCGAACCTACTGAATGCAAACATCACGCCGAATTCACTGAATGGCCCGGCACTGCTGCCGAGTGAATTGCCCAGTGGGCTTTATAATACAGTGTTTCGGTAACGTAATTAAATTATGGACTTCAAAAAGTGCATTGGAGTAGCCCTACTTAATTCCGCTGAAATTACCACCCTGTAGGCTGGGCATCCTGCCCAATTAGCCCTAAGGTTGTAATGAATCCCTAAGAGCAGTTAGGTATTCTACTTCGACTACTGTTACTACTACTACCACCACTACTACTACTACTTCTTCCTTTAGGAAGTCTGTAGAGACCTCCAAGAAGTAAATTTTCATAAGAAACAACCACCAAAGGAGTTTTCTAACTTAGCCAAAAGTTAGGAGAGAGGAAGGTGGACATCGAGGGCTGTTTAGCAGTTCCACCAATTGAATAAGTGTTTTGACAACCTGACTTGCTCGAAGGGGCTAAAAATTATGAAAGAAACAAAAGCTGTCCTCCTGGCTGCCCAAGGCTAAGAAGAAAACATCACTAGCTTATGCACACATGCTCGACGAATAAAGGAGATCAACTCCAACTGTTTAATGTTCGGGAAAGCGATACAATCTTTGAAGCCTTCAGTCCTTACTAAGCTGGGAGATATGCACGAATGGTAAAAATCCAATAGGCGACAAGTTTGGTGATCATTGTTTATTTTTTGTTCAATTTTTTATTATTGGTATCTCCATTACGTGTATTACCAGGTTGTTATTATATGATAAAAAGAATAAGGTATCAACTATGCGCAATGAGAAGTATATATGTTGGCAAAAGCAAGAATGAAGAAGGACACGGTATAGTTAAAACTAGTTAAGGCCCCTAAACAACGACAATCCTACATGTTTCCTTATTTCCATAAAGGAAAAAGGTAACAATAACAACAACAACGCATTCCACACATGCTCCTGATAAGGTTACGGAGCGAGTGAGGAGGCAAAATTCTGGGCAATTTTACAGTGCGACGACATAGGGCACTCCACACAGAATTAACCCCGCGATCTCATTAGTATTTGTGATCTTTGCTTGCTTCTGAGAAGAATCTCAGGAGACTTAAGTTGTAAGCTTGGACGACAAGAGCAAATAATTATCTGACGACAGCATGAGATAACCATGAAGAAGATATTGATGATAATAATAATCATTTTGCAATATTAATAATGAAGATGATAATGATAGTAATAATTATCATAATAAAGCGATAACGATAATAGTATTTATGATTATAATAATAATAATGACAGTCATAATAATAATAATACTAATAATAATGTGATAATTTTAATAATGATGGTGATAATGACAATGATAGAAATCATAGTGGAAATAACCAAAGCTAATGGACTGTTTCTTTATGTGTGATTTCGAAACTCGGTTAAAAAAATACTGGTAGTTGGAAGATCACGGGTTCCTTCTAAGCTCGGGATCACGGTCTTCGGGAATTTTCTGGCAATAACAACAACTTGTTGTTTTATAGAATATATGGTCTCTTTACGTTTTCAAATTATCAGCGAAAGTCCGCTTTTATATTTCACGAGTAATAGACATCATTGTATTATGAAGAAGAAAATTTTGCACTCCTCATATACCGTAATTGTAAACCTCGGAAACAGCGGTGAACACTAGAAACATTATGGAGTCTTTTGTCTTTCGAAGAATAGAGCCAATCAGGATCAGAAAACTAACCGTAAACAGTAACGGTGATTATTTTTCTGATTTTGAGGTTTGCCTGCCTGTCCTGAACTTTATTTTTATCGTCAGTAATCTACTGACGTGCCAAAATCAAATCAAAGTGCTCGAGGCTTTTGAGTATCACCGAAAATTTTCAAATCTGTTGGAACCCATTTTTAAGAATGATTTAATATTTTTTATATTTATGGAAAAATAATCCCGCACTGATGCAAGGCTGTTAATGCCATAACGCATTTTCCTAACACTGTTTAATCGTCGGCATTAAAGAAAACAAAAAAGAGAACGTGTGTCTGTCTTGATTTTTATATCCATTTACTTCCCACTCAATTCGAAGATGAGGAGAACTTCCGAAATTTATTTGTGAGGTACATATCTCTCGGAAGAGGCCCCAACAGAAACCACCAATTTATTTTGAACCAAGCGCAAATTAGCAAAAATAATCAACGTACCGTGCGGTTTTCAAAACATCTCATCTGTGTGACAGCTTTGCAAAGAGGATTGCTTTCCATATTACAAATTAAGTATTCGTGTTTGAAAAATGTAATCGTCATACCAAACAACTATTTTCTTTAACCTGATCCGGGTCGTCTTGTTTATGAGCTCGAGATACAGTTTACAAAAGGAGAAGTACAATATTCGTGGAAGAAAAGGATGAAATTACTTTGTTTGGATAAGACGTGGTTGTACATGATTCCTATAAGTATTGCTAGCAGCTGTATCCGGCGAAGAACGAGGTGTTACAAGGGTTGAAACATAGGGCTCTAATTGTCTCTCTTCTGAAGCATTGTTTTGGTTCGCGAAGATTTCCTAAAAATATCACCGTACAGCAACTCACAATCAATAAGGGCGATATTCAACAAAGACCATAAGAATATTTTTTCGATATGGAAAAGTGGGCAGCTATCAGATGGTTTTTTTATTTCAAGCTGTAATCCCTGAGAATATGCTCATTCGTTGAAAACCGTGGATGACAAGGTGAGTCGGCAAACTTGTCGCATCTAGACATGATACTTTCAGAAAGTATGAGATTTTAAAACAAGACTTTTACTTGTATAAATCTTTCGCAGATTATAAAAAATCTTCCATTTGCAAATAGCATTTTCGTTCTTGAGGATGCTTGTCAAAAACTTTGGAAATTTCTTGCCTGCTTGCAGCTTTTTTAACGAAAAGTATTGAAAAGATTCTTCTAGGTATTCAAAAATGGCGGTGTTCTCAATGACGCGCTATTCGCACTTAAGGGAGAAACAATCATTGCGACATTTGTTCATAATACGGAGCTTTCCTGTCGGCTGTCAGAGCTAATTTGCCGGAAGGATTAAAGTCTTCTTTCAAGTCTGCAAAAGTAAACATTTGTTTCATTCATAGTTCGAGCGCAAGGAAATGATGTCTTAAAAGATATCATCGACGCATCTAGACGTGATACTTCCAGAAAGAATGATGGTTTAAAAAAGGAATCCCTGGTCAAGCACGGGATACGACATTCATACTCTTTTTGTCGTTTTTAGCCTGATAATATACAGCTTATCAAGCCAGATCTGATGATACCTTATCGGTATCGAGTCGTTTACTAAGCATATCCTCTATGTTGTGGTTTAATGGCAACTTTTCCTTTTTTGTTCCTGTGTCCGATAATACGAAATGTAATATGAAAATTTCAACAAACTACAAGATTGTTTTCTTTTAAATGAGGGCATAGCATACATAGTATGCCCAGGATGCACTATAAGTTCGTGCGAAAAAACTAAGGAACCTTTGAGCGAGCGAAGATCTGCATATGCAAACGTCTTACCCTTTCCGTTGTATTTATCAGCCTCCGAATATCACTTTCCTTGTTGTGTGATTGTGTGATTCAAGGGAAAATACTGAAATTTAGAATATCTTCAATTTTTACCAAAAGAACATTGTCATGCGGCTTATCAAAGGCTCACCTGAATTCTACGGCATTTTCCGTATGCAATCCGACGGCAACGCGGTTGAAGCGGAAATGAGCGTAAACAATCGCTTGAATATATGATTATTTAAGGACCCAAGAAACGTTGCTACAGCCGAAGGAGAATGATTATGGGAGTTACCTCCCGAATCCGCGCGCA